GTCTGATTTTCTCTGAGATAAGAGCTAAGCTAGTTCTAGACAGAATTCGTTTCGCATTAGAAGAAGTTACAGCAGCAGATGTTAGTGTAAATGCGTTTGGTATTACCTTAGAGTCGCGGCATCTCTTCAGAAAGGTGAGAGACTCGATTAGCTGAGCCTTCTTATCCCGGAGCTTGTTGAAGGATCTCAAAGTTATGTGGAAACCCTCCCCGTAGAGGCGGTTAAATTTCGATTTAAAGCTTTCGTGACTGCAGGGATTCATCTTCTTGGTTCTTTCGGTAAAGTCACGTAGAAGGGAAGTAATAAAATAATAAAAATAAAACATAATAAAACAATTCTCACGACGTTTCGGCCACAACGCAAGCAGCCGTCCTCAGGTGAAAACCAGGTCCGTCGAGGCGACAGAGTCTGAATGAAACAGCACACGAGCTTGGAGCATATATATAAGCTGGACGCATTGACAAAGGAATTTGCATATCAAAAGGAATTTAGCATATTTATGGGATCTGAAATCTCTGTAACCCTCAAAAACGCTAAGATGCCAGCTAGCAACATCAGCAAAGATGAGCGTTTTGAATTAGCTCAATTAAAAAAGAGGGATGACATTGTCATCCTCTCAGCCGACAAAGGCAATGCCACTGTCATCATGGACAAAATAGAATACAACAACAAAATTCAAGAACTACTCAACGATGGCAGCTATACAAAAATAAAAAGAGACCCCACCAACAGCCTCGTCTCCAAAACCAACAACATCATTTCTGCTTCAACCGCATTAATTGATCAGACCAAACAGTTCTCGTTGAAACCTTCTGCAGCCAGGCCACCAAGATTGTACGGCTTGCCAAAGATACATAAAGAAGATACACCTCTTCGTCCCATTGTTTCTACTATCAACTCCCCCACTTACAAACTGGCTCGTTTTTTGTCCGAAATCCTACGGCCTTTCACTGGAAAAACCACCTCTGCAGTACTAAACTCTACTGACCTGGTATCGACAATCAAGGGGATTGCCCTGTCCCCAGACGACCTGCTTGTCAGTTTTGATGTGGTTTCCTTGTTCACCAAGGTGCCTGTGCCTGACACCATCGCAATCATTGAAGACTTGGTTCATCAAGGACTGAATGCTGGGGTACCCCCCCTGGTGAGACACTGCTTAACCAATACATACTTCACCTGGAATGGAACCTTCTACAAGCAAATTGAGGGCACCCCAATGGGCTCCCCCCTATCTCCGGTTGTAGCCAACATCTTCATGGAGAAATTTGAGACGGACGCCATCCAGACTGCCACTCTACGCCCGACCTTATGGAAGAGGTACGTAGACGACACTTTTGTCATCTGGCCACATGGCCGGCCTGCTCTAGACCAATTTCTCGACCACATCAATTCCATACACCCAGCCATCAGATTCACCATGGAAGTCGAAAATGATGGCAAGCTACCCTTTTTGGATGTCCTAATCAAAAGGAGACCTGATGGTTCAATGAGCCACTCTGTCTACAGGAAAGCCACCCACACGGATGCTTATCTAAAACCGGATTCCCACCACCATCCATCCCAGAAGAATTCCCTCATCAAGACTCTATATCATAGAGCCCAATGCATCTCCGACCATGAACACATTTCCAGTGAACTCAAACACGTACGCCAAGCTCTTAAGGCTAATGGTTACTCCGACTACACAATCCGCAAAGCCATCACTCCAACCATCAAGAAGGATCCTGTTGAGGAGCCTTTCAAGACCATCACCTTACCCTACATTGCTGGGGTCACAAAAAAGATCTCCAAAATCCTGATTAAACACAAGATCCAGGTCCGATTCAACACAGTACATAAAATCCGTGATCTGGTCCCGTCTGTAAAAGATGTGGTTCCAGACATACAGTACCCTGGCGTCTACAAACTAAGTTGCCTCTGTGGTAGCAGTTACATTGGAGAAACCAAACGACATGTCTCGGACCGCATCCGTGAACATAAGGCAGACCTGAAACACGGTAGGACAAACACCTCAGCCGTGGCAGATCACTGTTACAACTCAGTGGGCTCACATGATATTGACTTCTCCAAGACAGAGGTTCTCTGCAAGCCATCTGGCTATCATGAGAGATTCGTTCATGAGGCGATCCACATATACAAACACAGAGACAATTTCAACCGAGAAGATGGATTCTGGCTTAGCAATCATTGGAAGGACGTAATAAACCATTTCGGATCTTAACTGATTGTGTTCACGTTTACGGTGACTTTCAGACCGCGTTCCACTCACTGGCATGGTGCAGTGTGCAGAGTAATGTATGGTGTCGTAATTGTATAGTAAACATATAGCAGTGTGATACACATTAGGGTGGGTAGAATAATACATAGTGTTATATTAAAATGGATAAGGCAGCAACTGCAGCAGCAGCAGCAAGTGCAGCAGCAGCAGTAACAGCAGCAGCAGCAACTGCAGCAGCAGCAACTGCAGCAGCAGCAGCAACTGCAGCAGCAGCAGAAACTGCAGCAGCAGCAACTGCAGCAGCAGCAGTAACTGCAGCTCCCTTTGATGCTGTTAATCCTGCATAATGCACATGCATATGCAGTACTAATCACATTCCTGCATTTCCCATAAATATGCTAAATTCCTTTTGATATGCAAATTCATTTGTCAATGCGCCCAGCTTATATATATGCTCCAAGCTCGTGTGCTGTTTCATTCAGACTCTGTCGCCTCGACGGACCTGGTTTTCACCTGAGGACGGCTGCTTGCGTTGTGGCCGAAACGTCGTGAGAATTGTTTTATTATGTTTTATTTTTATTATTTTATTACTTCCCTTCTACGTGACTTTACCGAAAGAACCAAGAAGATGAATCCCTGCAGTCACGAAAGCTTTAAATCGAAAGTTCATGGGTCTCTCCTTGGTCAACGTATTGACGACTACATTTACCCAAGAATGTCACTGTGTAACGCGCGTGACGTCACTCCACGTCGACCTCATTAATGCCGTGGAGGCAGCTCACCAATCTTACATTAACATGCTAATTTTTACCTGGCAGCCCTTTAATTGGTGGAAAACCCACCACTATCGCGGTTGCTGCCCACCTCTCACATTAACATTAGCTGCCCGGCCCATGCTGCTGACATTTGGGCTACCCCCATTTCAAACCGTTATAAACAGTTTGCCTTAAGAAGTTAACCCCCTTTTCCTGATGACGCCGGGTCCAAGCAAGAACATCTGCTGGACTACATAGTAACGGAACAGCGGATTCGGGCCCATGTCCTTGACACCAGGACCTATCGTGGAGCTGATCTGCCCACTGACCAACAGTTTGAAATCTGTAAGATGCACCTGCCATTCTTTCACTCCGGTGGTGGGTGTACATCTATGACCCTATTCAAACCCACAGGCGCCTGGTCTCAGCTAGCTGATTAAAGTTACAAGCGAGAATTGCATCATCGCCTGAAGCTGGAGGTGGCATCGTCCCCCCCCCCTCCTCCTGATGCCGAGGGGAAATGGGCGAGGTTTAGGAATGTGGCTCATGCAGCTTTAATAGCTGCATTGGGTACATGGTCCAAACCTCCCCAGAGACCCTGGCTGGCGGATGAGGTGTTCCGGCTGGCTGAGAAAAAGTGACAGGCCCACTCCCACCGTTTACAGCATCCCACATCGGAGAATGAAGAGGCTTACCACATTCATTCAGACGCTGTCTCTCCAACAGACCTGGTCTTCACCTGAGGACGGCTGCTTGCGTTGTGGCCGAAACGTCGTGAGAATTATTTTATCATGTTTTATTTTTATTATTTCCCTTCTACGTGACTTTACCGAAAGAACCAAAAAGAGGCTTACCACAGTCTTTACTTCGGAGGTTGGGAGAGTCGTTGTGGCACTGTAAGAATGGGTGGTGGTCACGAGGTTTCTAAAGATATGGAGTCTGCCTCAGTAGCTCATGATCACAAATCACTCTTTAACTCCTTCAACAAAGTATCTTCCAGCACCACACCTATGACATCGCCAGCCACTTAGTGGCGAATAGGCGGTTGTTGTTATTGTTGGCTTCGTTGTATATCAATACATTATTACGTTCTTTACATTTTTTTATTTTACCAGGAAAGGCCAACTGAGCTATAGAAGTGCTTTTTCAAAAGCGACCTATCCACAAATGATAGCGCAATGAAGTGGCTTATCACGTGTAATTCTATAGCCGCCAAATAAAATAAACTCATTTTTTACAAAGGTTGAGGGAAAAAAACAGAGGACCCAGAGAAAAATCCACGCGAACCACAGGGAGAACATGCAAACTCCAAATATGCAGGCATCAGATTCGGGATCAAACTGACGATCTCCTGCATACCAGGCGAGGTAGTTACCATCTCGCCACCGTGACTCGGCTATTGGTCTCATGAGAGAACTGTTTCAGATCCCTCTCAGAGCCAGTGTGATTCTTGGTGTTCGAAAACACCCCCAATATCTTAGCTAGATTCATACAGCAATTATTGGAATGTAATTCTCACTATTTTTTTAAAATTATATTGCTGATAAGAGGAGTTCATCGGACAAGCTCATCCTATTCGTATTTACTAGCATTTATTTCACGGATGAGTGGAGTAGTTTTGCAGGCAATCCCACAGAGAATATGATTGTCGAGTTTTGACCCCTACACCATTGCGGATGGGAGCAGTTCCACTCTTGATCATGAGTCTCTGCCCTTATCTATGTTTGTCTCTATATCTTCATGCATGTTATGGCCTTCTGTCATCGTGAACATGTCCCCTGACCCCGTGACTATGATTTGTAATCATCTCGTTTTTCTATAAAGTTTACTGACAATAATTTGAAATATTTAACATCACATATTTCAAATGGTTGCTGCTCTGATGTAATGGTTAGCCTACTGGATTTGCAATCCCAAAGGATCATCGGTTCAATCTTCCACAACAGAATTTGAAACAACGGGCAAGTTTCTTGAATCCCTCCCACCCCAGTCTATCCACCTGGCAGTATCAACGGAGATAACCACAGATGGTCGATCAGAAGGCAGGTCACGCGTGGTGTGAAAAAAACGTGGATACTTCCGCCGATATAAAAAATATATTTGGCTAGTGGGGAAGAGTAGACCAAAATACCCTCCACATGGGCTCCCACTAGTGGAGGAACTTCCGTCAGCAGTGACAGAGAGACATTTCAGGGCTGCACCTTTACAGTCACCTATACAGTAACTTAAATGTTCACACATGCAAGATTAAGACGTTAAACTAATCTTTAATATCACGGCGTAAAGATCATTATATTTTTTACCAGATTAATGTTTAAAAAAATACCCGCATTAGCATCATAAGCCACTTGCTGAACCTTAGCTATTTCCTTTCATTCACTTGGAATCCAATGAATATGCGTTTTGTGCCAACTTCCAGGTATTCTCGAAGCAAAACGTGCCACCTCGGCTGTGATTACTGTAAGCGGAATAATCCGATTAGGAGTGCTACAGCACTGTGATCGCAGCTTCACCACCACGGTATTGCAGTGTCTGTAACATTCGCCTTTCTTGCCAGTATCAAAGTGTAAGAATAGCTTTTTCCCTTTCTGGCAATAACACGGGTGTTTAAAATGTTCAAACACCAAACGGAAGCCTTTTGCAAGAAAGCATGCCTGCGTTAACCACATGTGTTTTTGTTTGCATGCTCACCACAAGTATAGTGTGGTTGATGCAGACATGATTCCTTGAAAGAGGTTTTTGTTTGGCGTTTGAACATCCAAACACCTGTATTATTACCAGAAAAGTTCAAACCTATTCTAATACTGGAACATTCGAGTTCGTGACAACTTGGGACGCAATACGCTGTCGAATCTGCCAACACAAATGCGACTCACTGAATGATGCGAGTCAATATAATTACTTAGCACCTGTAATTTCGAGTTTAATCCTGATGATATTCCCCTACATTTAATTGGATTTATCTTTTCGGTGTGCCCTCAAAATAGTATACCGTGTCACACTTTTTGGGGGGTTGGGGGTACCCTAAAAAAGTAAGAAAAAAAACAAAGTGGAAAATTAGCATTTGAAGCTCAATTTTTTTTAAATATGCAAAAGAATGCTGACGTGTTACTCGCTGTGCCCCCTCCACGCGGCATAGCAACGTGGAGTCCCAGTTTGTTGCTGTCTTGTATATTAATTTCCGTATGTATGTTGAACTTCTTTCACTCCGTATGTAGCCAACTGTGCAAATCGGAGGTGCTTTGGGTTTGCGAGTTGCACAGTTTTTCTGGTGTTTTTATTACCCTTTTTTTAATGAAGTATATCAAGAGTATTTTACATTTGAAAAAAACTACATAATTAACGTTATACTCTATCGATGGGAAAAATATAGTCTTCATTTATTGACCATGTTTTTTAATTAAAACATATATCGAGACAAGACACCTCTGAATTAATACAATATTTTGAGAACACACTTAAGGGTGCAATGATGCTTCCAATCATACATTAATATTGATTCTTAAGCTCACGATACAAGCATCGAATTAATGGTGGTTGCTCTCAGCGACATAGTTATAGACAGGTAAAACTACAAGCACTGCTCACGTTGGCTTGGCTACTAACACACGCGCGCACACACTGACGTGTACGCAGGCTCGGCCATGCTGCTGGCGGCCACATGCGCCGTGGCTGCGCTAGGGCGGCCTCGCCTTCGGCTACGCTCTGGCCGTACCCTCGGGCGCACTGCCGCACCTCCGCGACCGCTTCCTGCTGAGCTCGGCACAGCAGGAGCTGGCGGTCGGCGCCGCGCTGGCGGGCGCCCTCCTCGCCTCCTTCTTGGGCGGGCCCCTCCTCGACCGGCTGGGCCGTCGCGCCGCCGTGGGGTGCAGCGGCGCCCTGCTGGTGACGGGCAGCGCCTTTCTCGCGTGCGCACCCTCGTACGCCGCTCTGCTCGGGGGCCGCGCCGTCGTGGGGGCGGCCATCGCGGCGTCCTCCGTGGCGACGTGCGTCTACGTGGCCGAGGTGGCGCACCCGCGCCGTCGCGGGGCCCTCGTGTCGGCCTACGAGCTGGGCGTGACGGGCGGGGTGCTCGCCGCGTACGCCGCCAACCTGGTGCTGGGGAGAGGCCCCGGGGAGACGGTGGGCGGCGTCGCGCCGTGGCGGTGGATGTTCGGCCTGTGCTGCGTGCCGGCCCTCGCGCAGGTGATGCTGCTCGTGGCGTGCCTTCCTGCGTCGCCGCGCTCGCTGCTGCGGTGCGGGCAGGCCGACGCCGCGGAGAGGACCCTGCGCAGGATCCTGGGGCAGCAGGATGTCAGCGCAGACATCGACGCACTCAGGTCAAGAGTTTAGCAGACATCAAAGGGCGATTTTCAGTTTTGCGTTTGAAACAGAAAGCTTTTTCCACAGTTTTATCATAAATGTGCTATCGGCTTTGAGTCATGAGACGATATGTCTGCCGCGGTTCATCAGCCATTATCAGACAATGGCCCGCAGAAGAGGGTATCACAGAACCACTTCTGAGTTCCGTTCAAGTGACCAAATATCCTCACGAGGGGGAGCTACGTAATAATTTAGTACATTTGGTATTTGCGTTAGTCTTATATTGCATGGCTTACGTGAAGGCTCAATCTTTCACAGGCAGTGTGCAATAGTTTAACAGTAGGGGCGATGTTGCTTTGTGAAATCAAAATTGAGTGTTGTAAAGTAAAGAAATGTTGACCATGACACTGGCAAACAACAGCCTACTCAAATTACATCACAGAATCTTAATGACCACTGTGAAGCAGATTGAACCTATGTTATGGTTAATCTACTTGCGGTATTAGCCAAAGAATGTTTCCAAATGAAGAGAGAAGCGACATTGAACATGATGGTTAATTTGTGTGCAGTCGTTTGTGGCTGCCTCCATTTGAACGGGCCCAGTGGTTGAGCCAGCACTGTTGGTGAGTTAAATAAACCGGTGGTGGATTTACATTTCTGAGGGTAAAGCTGAAATGGTATGTAATGGTACAATGGTCATTTAGCTAAGAACGTCTTATTCATCAATTCTAAAAACGTCTATTTTTTTTTTATATATCTGTTGCTCTACATCAACATCAGCCGTACGAAGAAGAATACAAACTGGTGTACGACACTGAGCAGAACCTGATATTGGCTGCAATATCAAAATAACTTTGGCATTTATATTTGTCTGAAAGTTGGTCATTTTTATACATATCACAATACTTCGTCCATCAACACAGTGTCTAAAGATGCCGTGCGTGATACTTTGTCAAAAGGCATGTTATAAAATTATGCAGAGGAGAAGGGATTTTATGTGTTTAGAATGGAGGGAAAGGTTAGGGACCAGATATATAAGGGAAGCAGACATCAGTGGTGTGGTGGCAGAGGTCGCAAACGGGTTTTGATTCCTTACCCGTACCCGGCCGCACCAGGGTCGCAAACGGGTACCCGTACCCGGCCGTACCCGTACCCTACCCGTACCCGGTCGGGTAGGGTACGGGTATCGGGTACCTGATTGCGACCTCTAAGTTGAAGCCATGTTGCAGGTGCGGGTGGGTTGATTCTAGGAACTTGAATTGTGAGAAGAGACAAGACGTTAGGAAATGAGTGACAAACAGTTACTCACCAGTGACTCACGGTCTACCCGTACCCGTACCTGGCCGCACCAGGGTCGCAAACGGATACCCGTACCCGGCCGGGTATGGGTAGCCGGGTATCGGGTAGGGTACGGGTATCGGGTACCCGGTTGCGACCTCTGTGTGGTGGTGAGAATAAACACCGTGGTCAGCCATAGGCCATGAAGCGGAGATAAGTCTTGAGCCTGGGGCCTAAACGGAGACTCGCGCGGCAGAAGCTCCGTACCGTCCGTAGATTTGTGCTCGTTTGAATGTTATCCCAGCTCTTACGGCAGCACAATCCTCCTCTCTTAAGATGTGATATCACAATGTTACCTTCTATAATCTACTAGATGCAGTAGATTGATGAATTCATGTACATATATTTTAAACAATGAAATGTTTAATCTTCTTGGTTCTTTCGGTAAAGTCACGTAGAAGGGAAGTAATAAAATAATAAAAATGAAACATAATAAAATCATTCTCACGACGTTTCGGCCACAACGCAAGCAGCCGTCCTCAGGTGAAGAATGAAACACCACCAAGAATGAAACACCACCAAGCTTCACCTGAGGACGGCTGCTTGCGTTGTGGCCGAAATGTCGTGAGAATGATTTTATTATGTTTTATTTTTATTATTTTATTACTTACCTTCTACGTGACTTTACCGAAAGAACCAAGAAGATGAATCCCTGCAGTCACGAAAGCTTTAAATCGAAATGAAATGTTTCTCATCTGCAGATCATCTTTGGAGATGGAGAAGCAATATAGCGTGCTTGACCTTCTGCGGAGGAAGGTAATGAGCATAGAGGCACTGCGATTGGCCGTGATTAATTTTATAATTTTATTTGTGAGGGGGATTTCAGTGTCAGAATGAAACGACTCAAAAATGTTATTCCAAAAAATGCAATCATATTTTTACATGAAGGAAGAATAAAATGAAGCAAGGCCTCCTTTAAAATTCCCCAACCTACTACCTTGCCTGGTATGTAGGAGGTCGTGGGTTCGATCCTGACCCTGACGCTTGTATATTTGGAGTTTGTATGTTCTCCCCATGATCGTGTGGATTTTTCTGCGAGTCATGCAGTTTTCCCCTCCACATTTAGAAACATGCGTTTAGAGTACTTGACTGCTTTAAATTGCAACGTGATAAGCCACTTCGTTGAGCTATCATTTGTGGCCAGGTTGCTTCTGAAAAAGAGCTATATCGCTCAGTGGGCCTTGGTAAAATATTAAAATAATTCTAGCTTAAATGCACCTTCTCTGCTGCCTTTGTGGTCTGAAACTCCTTACTAGGTTGCATTGGTGACTGTCCTTGTCCATATTCTTAGGTTTTTTCGGTAAAGTCACGTAGGTAAAACATCAAAATTAATAAAAATAAAATAAAACAAAAAATCACGACGTTTCGGAGGCAACACAAGTCTCCGTCATCAGGTGGGACCGTCACAGCCGGATTAGCTGCATCAAGTGAGGCAATGATTCAAGATGTAATCCCTTAAAAAGCAAGTTGAGGGGGAGGAGAGGGGGGGGGAGCTCATCAGAATATGGTAGCCAATGAATGGAACGTATCGGGAGGGAGGGGGGCGGGGCTCAAAGACGGCACGGGGTGCCACGTACAACGCATCGGGAGGGGGGAGGGGGGGCCAAAAGAATGCACGACGACTCTCAACTCCTCCTCCGCCCATGACTAACAACCTCGCGTCATCACACTACCTCCCATCTCTCTGACAACTGATCATCGCCTCTTCTCCCAACCTCTTTCGCCCACTCTTGAGGCGTGGTAGCGTTGAGACGCTTTTGAGATCCATTTGTATTTACTTACATGGCATTATTTAACCCTTTCCCTTCTGCAAGTTGCAAGATGAGTCCTGTTCACCAGTGAATCTCGGAACGTCTAAGCGGTTAGCGTTGATATTATTTAGAGAGGCGTAGCGTCGTTATTTTTAAAAACATTGTTCTCACCGTAGAGAACTGTAGCAACGTGACCGCACTCTATGATAGCTGGCACGAAACTCTGCCACACGGTCTCCTGCATGGCCTTGTGGGAGCCTCGGCACCGATAAAGTTATATTATATAAAATCTTGACTTAAAGCTTTCGTGACTGCAGAAATTCATATTCTTTGGGTCTTTCGGTGTTTATTCCCACCAGCACACTGCTGATGTTTGTTGTTATTTTCTTTGAACCCATCTACGTGACTTTTACCGAAAGACCCAAAGAATATTATATTATTTTAGTTTTTCTTCCAGTTCGCATGTCATCGGAACAAAATTGGAAGAAGAACGGGAAAGGTTTAAAAACAGCTGTTGCCGTTGCCCTCACGACGATCGCCGCCGTTGACGCCGATCGCCTTTTCCTCAGGACAACATGCGCACGCGCATGCTCATCGGCGGCGGACTCGTCACGTTCCAGCAGCTCACGGGCCAGCCCACCGTGCTCTTCTACGCGGCGAGCGTGTTCCGTGCGGCGGGGTACCGCGGGGAGGCCTCCGCGCTGCTCGCCTCCGTGGGCCTCGGCCTCGTCAAGGTGGCCGCCACCTCCGTGGCCGTGGCCGTGGTGGATCGCGTCGGGCGCCGCCGCTCGTTGCTCGCCGGCTCCGTCGCCATGGCCCTCTCGCTCGCGGCGGTGGCGGCCGCCACGTCCGGCCTGGGGAACGCAGCGGGCGGCAACACGAGCGCCGTCGCGTCGGGAGGGAACGACACAATGGGCGGTGAGAGCGGCGGCCTCTCTCGCTCGGCTGCTTCTGTCCAGCGTTAAGCGAGGGCAGCGCGGCAGTCGGTTAGAGTGGTCTCTAGCGCTCGGCTCCTAAGCAGTTTATCTTGCTTTTATTTTATTCTGATATACAACAATACCCCGATTTACGTCTACCCCATTTACGTTGTTTTGCAATTAATTCATCACTTTGTATGTATGTATATTGAACTTCTATCGCAGCGTACGTAGCCAACGACACTAATCGGAGGTGCGGGGGAAGGACAACAAACGTAACACTTAAAGTGCTTCTAAAGATCTGAGTTTTCAATCTAGATTTTAAAGTGCATAGCTCCGCTGGCTTCCTAATATCGGAAGGAAGAGTATTCCAGATGGCTGCAGAAGCGCATCTGAGTGTGCATGTTCTCCCCATGGTTGCATGGATTTTTCTCCGGGACCTCCGGTTTTTCCCTCCACATTTATAAACATGCATTTTAGAGTATTTAGCTGCTGTTAATTTCCACGCAATAAGCTACTTAGTTGAGCGATCATTTGTGGCCAGGTCGCTTCTGATAAAGAGCGAAACAGCAGAGTGGGCCTGACCTGATGAAATGAAAATGTAGTTTTGTAAGTTTGGTAAAAAAAACGTGTGTTTTCCAACCAATTGTACTTCAACTACAAGTTAAGTCGATCCTTCCGGGTGCATTGTCTGACGCAGGGTGATACACTGCTCGCTGTGAGAGTTCCAAGTAGCGATCATTTGTGGCCAGGTCGCTTCTGAAAAAGAGCTCAGTGGGCCTCGCCTGATGAAATAAAAATAGTATCATAAAAAAATGGATAATAAGTGAAAATGTTAAAATTTTTTTAATGTTGCTTTGCTCAAATCCTTTACCACCCATCATCCTCCCCTTCCTGCCACTGCGGTGCGGGAGCAGGACCACCGTGGGCCAACTGGACGCACGTGGAGGATGGAGGTGTGAGCGTGGGCCCCACCGCCCGCTGGGCCTCGCTGCTCGCCATCCTGGCCTTCGTCGGCGCCTTCTCACTCAGCTACGGGCCTAGTGAGTCAAAGCCGCGTCGCCACACGGCAAGAAGGGAAGATGTAACCCCAAAAAAACGCGTTCCAAGTCGAGCTCCTCTTATCCGCTTTCACTTTCTTGGCGGGTAACATTTGTGGACAAGAGGGAGTTTTCATGTTATTATCCGAGAAAAATTAACCCGTAAAAACTAAGTTTTTCACTATAAATCCTTTATATGCGTGGCGGCTAGAGTCCTCTCGTCCTCTGGCTTGAGATGGCTGCCACCTATGGGTCAGATGTCTGCCACCAATAAGCAATTGGTAATTAAATATTTTAAAAAAATTCCCTAAACAGTGTCAAATTTTGGAAAAAAAATTTCTGGAAAATTAATTGTCACGCACAACGAGTCTGTGTGCAAAACGTCAGCTCGATTGGATCACGGGAAGTGGGTTAAAAAACGACCGAAAGATGTGCACGGCCGTAAGCAAGCAAGCAAGCACGCAAGCACGCAAGCAAGCAAGTGAACTTAATATAAAGGATTTAAAAATAAAACCTTTTAGTTATCAAAATGATGTTTCGATAATAGGATGAATTTACCACTTGACTTTTCTTAACTGCAAAAAGACGTGGCTGATATAGGATGAATTTAGCGCCAGCAGTGAGTGAGCAGTTCTGGGTGATGCCTCTTGTTCATGAATTATGACAGATAATTATATATATTATTTTATATATATTATAGATAATTATAATCAGAAGGATTATTCTGAAGATGATAGGTATTTTACAGATTAATTTATTATTAGGGTTGCGGATGTATGAGGGTCACAGATACAGTGTATATTATATTTTCTAGCCAATATACTCTCAATTGCCTAATGATAATCTGTAAAGAAGCACATCGTTTCACTACAGCTGGAGCATTATCATCAGTCTAATCCTCGTACACATGAGGACAGTGTATATGTATTGGGTGAAGCACATGCCTGTAATTCAGTGACTTGAGAGGGGGCACTATAAATGTACTTGGATCATACAAGCAGCGTGAGAAGTGTGTATAAGCCACTATTGCAAAGCGGTTGCTGACAGCTTATTTCTGAGCTTTGAGCATTCTCGTATATGTGGGTTATCAATATGGATTGATTTGTTTCCCACATACAAATAATAATGGGCCAAACATTCCAAGCAAAATCCTTCCTAACTTAGATTTTTTTTTTTACGCAGTAATGTGTTTCTATATAAATCAATAATACGTATCATTTAGTATGTTAAAGTTTCAATATTAGAAGCATGGTGGTCAGTCATCAGTTGTACAATGGCTGCTCAAAACCCCAGAGCACCCCCTGTACAGGTGTGTAAATAACATGTGCGAGTTTCGATTTAAAGCTTTCGTGACTGCAGGGATTCATCTTCTTGGTTCTTTCGGTAAAGTCACGTAGAAGGGAAATAATAAAAGAAAAAAATATATATATTATTTTATTATTTCCCTTCTACGTGACTTTACCGAAAGAACCAAGAAGAACATGTATGAGTTTTGCAAGTTGGCGAATTATATAAATAATTAAAATTTAAGTGTTATTTCGAAGCACCAACTATGGGAATCGGTGCCTCTAGCATTCAAATGTTAGATTAGCGATACAGAGTGTTGTTGTGCCAGTGTGTCCGTGTCCCCTGTGCAGTGACCTGGGTGCTGCTGAGTGAGATATTCCCGGCTGGCATCAAGGGTCGGGCGATCGCTGTGACCACCAGCCTCAACTGGGGCATCAATCTGGTGGTGTCGCTCGTCTTTCTGGATATCATCGGTGAGGCTGTCGAGCGACTATTATTAAGGCCACGATCCGGTTGGGCAATTTCTTTGCGGAGTCATCACCGGCAAATTGTCACCGGCGAGAGTGGCCGTACCGTTTTCCAACGTGAGAAACTGGAATGGCAAATTCCAATCAGATCAACAGAGAATAGTTCATCAAACACACTTAATTAAAAAAAACTTCTCATTGCCAGACAGAACTCCATCATTCGACTCCATTAACCGTGAAAATCTTTCATTAAGAACCAAATTATTATAGGCGTTCATAGTCAATGCGTTGCGAATTACGATAGTTGGCAATGATTGCCCTGCAGTTTCCACAAGCCTTTTAATGATCGGAATTTGAAGTTGGCTCCATGACACTTAACTACGTTCCACTCTTGGGCTAAAATGTCAACACTGTCTGCCTCTTTCAGAAACATTTCCTTTTTGTCTACATCTCGGTGTTTATATTTACTCACTCCCATTATTCATCTGCTTCCAAATCCAACTCTGTATCATCACGCAAGAACAAGTAAGCCTTTTTGAAGAAACAATCTGGTGTGGGATGAAGGCCTTTTCATATCACCATACCGTAACAGCAAAGACACATTGTGTATGGATTCATGTAATTTATTATTCACATGGAATAATGAGGCTGGTGAGGGGGGATGCTGCATTGTTTCTTGTCTACTTTCTAGCGTATAGATTGTGGTTTTATGTTTCTCTTCACGAGCACTGGCAGGTAGTGCACGCAGCTGCTTTTGGTGACCAATGTTAGTGCAAATGTAAAGTAATGCATTGGCTATACTCTTTGGTTCTTTCGGTAAAGTCACGTAGGTATAAAATATATTAAATTACGACGTTTCGATTGCAACACAAGCAATCATCATCAGGTGGGAAAACCTCTTACCACGGCAACTCTCTCTCCCGCTTCAGCAAAAAAAAAAATATTTCTGTGGTTTTCCCACCTGATAATGATTGCTTGTGTTACAATTGAAACGTCGTGATTTAATTTCTTTTATTTTATACCTACGTGACTTTACCGAAAGAACCAAAGAGTATGGATCCCTGCAATCACGAAAACTTCAAATCTAGATTAATTTATTGGCTGTTGTGCATAAGTGGGGTATCACTTTTTTTTTCTTGTACAATGTGTTTTAGGGCAATCAACACCCTTAAACAAGCCTGTGCTCCTACTTGCATCTCCTTATGTGTGTACTAATCAATATCCCACCACTCACGAAGTCTTTAAACCTCTAAACTGTTGCTGTTCTTTCTTTCCTCCCAGCCTCCAATCACCCTCCTCTTCCCCAATGCCTTTAGCACCCTTCACTGACACCTGAGGTTTGTGTGCCATCTCTGTTGGCGAATATAACAAAATACAAAGCAAGGCAAGTTTTATTTCTTTTGCGCAGCGTCCAAATGCACTCCGCGTAAATGTATGGAATGGCCACCCAACCCTACAGCTTGTTTAATTTACAGTGCACGCGTGTGCTTAAGTAGACCGCAACGGGGAATCCTGCCGACGAAACCAGATGAACGCGTTTTTTTTTTTGTAAATGTGCTAAATAATATCGATTATCATTATGTATGATAGTTACAATATCTGTTACGACTTCAATTACTGCTAACATATTGGTGACTTGTTCCTGACCGCTGGAGCCTACTCTTAAGCTATTATCGTTATGTATTATGTGCATGGATATGATCTGAGCATTGCAGTTTCCTCCAAAAATGCAGTAACAAATGCTCTGAGGTTGGTCAAACGGGCCAAATAGTACCCCCTTGAAAATGTTACTAAGGCTTGATTTAAATGCTCTCAAAGAATGATTTAACTTGTACCGTGTCAGATTCCACATGGAGATGTTTGTATCACCTTTTATCTTTCCCACAGAGTGCCTGGGGCTATCAACGACATTCCTGATGTATGCCATCATGGGCGTGGTGTCCGTGGTATTTGTGAACGCATTCGTGCCCGAGACGAAGGGTCAGACCCTCGAGGAAATATCCCAGCAGCTAAATTCCACGTGAGACCCACCACCACCACCCGTAGCACCACCACCACCCGTAGCACCACCACCACCCGTACCACCACCACCACCCGTACCACCACCACCACCCGTACCACCACCACCACCCGTACCACCACCCGTACCACCACCACCCGTACCACCACCACCCGTACCACCACCACCACCACCCGTACCACCACCACCCGTACCACCACCACCACCCGTACCACCACCACCACCACCCGTACTACCACCACCCGTACCACCACCACCACCACCACCCGTACCACCACCACCACCACCCGTACCACCACCACCCGTACCACCACCCGTACCACCACCACCAATACCCGTACCACCACCCGTACCACCACCACCGCCCCTACCACCAACACCACCCCTACTACCACCACCACCCCTACCACCACCACCCTACCACCACCACCCGTACCACCACCACCCGTACCACCACCACCCGTACCACCACCACCACCCGTACCACCACCACCACCACCCGTACCACCACCACCACCCGTACCACCACCACCACCACCCGTACCACCACCACCACCCGTACCACCACCACCCGTACCACCACCCGTACCACCACCACCAATACCCGTACCACCACCCGTACCACCACCACCGCCCCTACCACCAACACCACCCCTACTACCACCACCACCCCTACCACCACCACCACCCCTACCACCACCACCCGTACCACCACCACCCGTACCACCACCACCCGTACCACCCCCACCACCCGTACCACCACCACCATCCCTACCACCACCACCCCTACCACCACCACCGCCCGTACTACCACTCGTACCACCACCACCACCCGTACCACCACCACCACCACCCCTACCACCACCACCACCCCTACCACCACCACTACTACCACCACCACTACCCGTACCACCAACACCCCTACCACCACCACCACCCCCAACCACCCCCACCACCACCCAAGGGGTGCTTGCCACCTTTAGAACAAAACCTCCACGATGTATGCCAAACACACCCCACATCATTATGGAATCACTGGTGAAGTTGTCACACATATCCAGTTTGTGGTCGAGAAGTCTCATAAAGAATCCGAATTGTGACAATGGCAGTGTTTATGCTGTGTTATTGTTTTGCACTGACAGTCCCCAGAACTGAAATGGATGGCTCCTGCCTATAATACCGAGAAAAATTACATAATTGGTTTAACAGCTTTGGACTGCTGATGAAACCCTGAAGATCAACACCAATCCAGATTTTGCCTACTTAAACAAATGTCATTTGCATACAGTGTTGCTTGCTTATGCATTTAGTTGATAACCACAGTTATCCACAACATTGCACCGTCAGTTTTATGCTGATGTAATGAAGCTGACAGTCAGTATCTTGTTTCGCATTTCTAATAGTTATTAGAAGTTACAACCACATTGACATCACTGCCGTTATCAGCCACGTGGGAGAATACTTACACGCTAACAAATTTCACTCAAGCCACTTAAACGTGTCACTATAAAATATCGTTATTGAATGGGTGTGAACGCCACCATTTATCTGTTAACATTGATTGTTGGCTTGACGATAAATGCGTAGAATCACGTGTGTAAGAATGAATGTTTTTTACTATGGGATGTAAATGGGATATGTTAATGTTACGTATTAGCAGAGCAAATGGAATTTTAGAAATTACACGGAACAATATGAGAAATCTTCTTGGTTCTTTACGTAAAGTCATGTAGAAGGGATCCCGACAGACCTGTTCTTCACCTGAGGACGGCTGCTTGCGTTGTGGCCGAAACGTCGTGAGAATTATTTTATTGGTTTATTTTTATTATTTTATTATTTCCCTTCTACGTGACTTTACCGAAAGAACCAAGAAGATGAATCCCTGCAGTCACGAAAGCTTTAAATCGAAATATGAGAAATACAACTGAAAAGATGAAAAACCAGGCGAAGCTAATGATTGAATCACGGCTCTGAGTTTGCAACAATGTACAGGTAGTCCTCTAATAACGATGGAGATGCGTTACGACGACCCCATCGTAAGTCGAAAATATCGTAAGTCGAAGATGGCCTAGCCTACCCAGGAGTCTTAAAGAACGGTGATAATTTAGCAAAACAGAGCAATTTACAGTACTGTACTGTATAAACTATATACTGTATGCATTTGTTAATTACAATACTGTATTGCGCAGTAAAGTAAAAAAAAAACAAGGTAAATTCTTAGACTACCTATATGAACTGCAATTTAATAGAAAGTTTTTTTCAGGAAACAATCCTATCTGCTATAAAAAAAAAACTTTTAACATGCATTGAACGTATCGTATCGTGGTAACTTTAAAATGAAATCGCTAAAGCTACGTATCATTACATGCATTGAACGTATCGTAACGTATCCTATTGTACTGTACTCACCAAGATTCTGTCCGTCGTCTGCATACTTGAACGATGTTAGGTTGTTGATGGTAATTTTGTCGTATCGCCATCGTAAGATCGAAATATCATAAGTCGGACCCTTCGTAACTCGGGGACTACCTTTATTGAATTACTAAGGGGAGGGGGGAGGACGGTGGGGTGGGTGAACCGTCGCATTTGTTGAATGTATAACTCCTCTTTTTTCTTATTGGTTCTTTCGGTAAAGACACATAGAATGGAAATAATAAAATAATACAAATAAAACATTATAAAATAATAAAATAAAATAAGAACTATTTTTATTTTATTATTTACATTCTACGTGACTTCACCGAAAGAACCAATAAGATGAATCCCTGCAGTCACGAAAGCTTTAAATTGGAACTCCTCTTTTGTTTGACTTGTTCCAAACAGACACACGAGGGCGCTGTGGTGCTGTGGAGATGCGAAGCGAAGGCAGAATCACGAAGAGGTCCAGTACCGGCGGCTGGATGGTTGTGCTCCCCTTTAAGGGGGGGGGGGGGGGACCCATTTCAGTGAGATTGACACGTGGCTTTTCCACGTGTACGGTTTCTACTGCATTTCTATGAAGCGTTTGCTCGGTAAACAAGTAATGAACGCACAACCATTTTGGGATGGTCAAGTTAGCATGATCATCAAAGAGCTTTCTGAATTTACACCGGAGGATTTATTTCAATAAGGCTTCAGTAACTACGATATGTATTGCATTTTCAGTCGGTCATTGTGATGAACAAATGTTGACGACGTAGCCAGTCAACTTCTTGATTCTTTCGGTAAAGTCACGTAGAAGGGAAATAATAAAATAATAAAAATTAAACGTAAAATAATTCTCACGACGTTTCGGCCACAACGCAAGCAGCCGTCCTGTTCTTCACCTGAGGACGGCTGCTTGCGTTGTGGCCGAAACGTCGTGAAAATTATTTTATTATGTTTTATTTTTATTATTTTATTATTTCCCTTCTACGTGACTTTACCGAAAGAACCAAGAAGATGAATCCCTGCAGTCACGAAAGCTTTAAATCGAAATGTAGCCAGTCAAGTTACCGAGATCACAAAATAGTTTACACGTATGTAAACGGTTAAGGCAACTGCACAGTTCCAGTGGAGTTACATGTTACAAAATAAGTGCAATTATGACGACCAATTTAGCAATTGCTTGCCTATTTATGTGCCTTTAAAAAAAAAATGTAAGGGAACAAATATTGCTTTCGCCCACAAATATTTTGATGCCTCATCCTTATGGCGAAAAAACATCGGGCGACTTGCAACCCAAATCAAACGTGATACACTCCGGTCATACGCGCACAAGGTGACGCATTTGTTTAATATTGTAATTTAATCAATTGTTGTGCCTTGATGCGTCGACCCAATCATTGCGTGTGCGTGTACATAGTACGGAGCGGTAGTGTAGTGGTTTGTGCGCTGTGCTACGAACCTGGCGACCCGAGTTAGATTCCCGCTCATGGTCAACAGCAGTGACGATTATCTGAACCGGTCATGGGCCTCCCCCAGGTCGACTCGGCCACAAATGAGTACCTGGTGCGATGTGTAAAAATATTGACATTAAGGAGACAAAGGCGGTCGGGCGTGGTGTTGGCCACCTATCCTTCCGTGTGCCGTGCCGGCCTTCATAGGTGCTCGCGAACAGCACTCGCCCCAACAGCCTGTTCAGCCTATACTGGGGATCTTTGTTTATCTTTGTCGTGTGTGGCAGGAGATCCTGCTGTTTCTGCTGCTGCTGCTGTACGCGATTGAACCCCTTGGATTAAGGCAGGGTTTCTCAAACGTCTCGGTCCTCAATTTTTCCTTTCCACGTTTGGCCAATTTCCAGTCGAATGCGAAATGCCACTACGCACTGCGCACATCTGACGATTGTAAGTAAAAAAATAATAATGGCATGTTGAGGTCAAAGACTGAGGCCCTATAAGCGTTCAGAGGTGAAAGCACGGGTTCTCACGTAGCAGTTGTGCTGTACAGTATGTTGCAGCGCTTGATGTTGATCATACCGCAGGTGTGTGCATTAATCCATTGCCTCTTCATGTGCATGGAGAACAATGACAAGGGGAAGCATAGCAGCTTGTTAAAGAAGTTAAGCTTATGCACGACTGCCTATGATCCAGTGCATTTTAAATTCATCACTGCTGCCATGTGCTGTTACCAAAACTCACTTGCCAAATTACACCTGGTACACGAGGTGATTGGCAAAATGTGGAAAACTGGTCCAAAAGGGGTTCAAACAAGTCCCTGTCGGTGAAAATCGCAGGGGTAGATGATGTGCTGGGATGATTGCTGTGGACACTCCATGTCACCTGGGATTCCAGGAGATAGAATACACTGCGCGTTCGGGTTGTATTTCGTCAGCACTCATGAGTGGAATGTGATGACGATTTGAAAGTAGCTTCGACTGGGTGAAACGCCTCCACGCTGTGACGCCATCCTGGGAATGGTGGTGCATATCCAGTGATCGAGCACTTAGGAGGCAAGAGGTGGTGGGGAGAAGATAGATTTATGACTAGGCCAAACCCACCGAGCTGTGAGAGGGGCGGCAGCATATCGAGAGCCAAACTAAATTCAAGCACCGTCCAAGGGACAGACCGAACTGTCAGAAAACAATTGCAATAAAGTGTAGTAAACGGTGCTTTTGTGTAAAGCACCAATATACACAAAGGTTATTACCATTGGAGGACCGATGAAAACCACACCTTTGGTGCGAAGCAAGAAACACGTCCATCTTTTCTAAACTCTGAGTAGTAGGGCAAGTCCATCTGTGAATCAATCTGTCCCAGCCTTTAAGTGCTGTCCCCCTTCATTCCTATGTGTGGTATATCGCCAGGTACTCCATTTTCTAACGCACTCCTTAAAAGTGTAATTGATGAAGCTATGCAAACAAGTGTTTGGGTACGTGATGGTTACGGTAGTGATAGGGATGTGGTGTTTGTAATTGATTGCGACTTATAACATGATGTTTTTGTAGTGTCTATAATAATCAGCAAAGGGAATAGTGATAAGCTTGGATTTATATGTAGCACACCTAAATTTTGCAATTTTTTTTATTTACCAACATGTCCGCTCGTTTATGTTTACATTGGCCCACTGTAGGAAATGACTTGTGGCGAATAAAAAAAATATTGCTCAACTGTATTGGGAATGTTTTTATAAATGCAGAGTGTTAATGTTCTACAAATGCACGCCATGTAAGTATAGTATTCTGTGGGTCTTTCGGTAAAGCCACGTAGATAGAAAAATCATAATAAAAATACCACGACGTTTTGATCGCAATACAAGCAATCGTCATCAGGTGAAAAAATATAGCGTGAGAGCTGCTGAGACAGGATGTTATCAAGGTTTGAGATGGGTGTCGCCCAAGGGTCATAAGTGCAGTGGGCAGGGCTAGAGATTAAATTTGCATGTCAATGTAAGATCCGAGAGCTGAGCTACCTCCACGACGACGAAGCTGTGGAGATGGTCATTGTATTGAGAGAGATTAGTGAATGTAAGAAAAAAAAACGAAAACCACCGCCACATCGAGGAAAATGAGCAACGGTGAATGTCTTCTTGGTTCTTTCGGTAAAGTCACGTAGAAGGGAAATAAAATAATAAAAATAAAACATTATTATTTCCCTTCTACGTGACTTTACCGAAAGAACCAAAAAGATGAATCCCTGCAGTCACGAAAGCTTTAAATCGAAATTTAACGGTGAATGGGCTTATTGAGACATTTATCCTGTTAATGTAAAGACATTTAACCTGGTAATGTAACTCAGAGAGTGGAAAATAACTAACATCGGTAGGTAGGATGGAAACATCACAGCCGGTTATGACTTCACCTGGTGAATAACGTCCTTCCAATGATTGCTCAGCTTGTACCCATCTTCTCGGTTGAAATTGTGTCTGTCTATATATCTGGATGGCTTCATGAACGAATCTTTGCTGATCGCCAGTGGGTTGTAGAGTACCTTCGTCTTGGCAAAATCAATTTCGTGTGTGCCCACAGCGTTAAAACTATGATCAGCCACGGTATTGATCCTACCGTGTTTCAGATCTGCCTTCTGTTCACGAACACGGTCCGAGACATGTCGCTTAGTTTCCCCAATATAACTATGGTACTGCCGCAAACACAGCTTAGTTTGTAGACACCGGGGTATTGCATGTCAGGGATCACATCCTTCACAGACGGGATCAAGTCACGAATTGTATGTACTGTGTTGAAATCGAACCTGGATCTTGCGATCGAAACGTGATATTTTCATTTTTTTATTTTTCTATCTACGTGGCTTTACCGAAAGACCCAAAGAATATGAATTCCTGCAGTCACGAAAGCTTTAAGTCAAGATGTAAATACTGTATAGTATTTCAGCTGTCTGCAGCATGTGAGTATTATACCCTCATGTGTTTGTATTCTCCAAGTTCTCTGGTATTCTCCCACATGCAAATACTGAAGGAGGACATGGCCAGATTTCAGCACTTTGCTTTAAAAAAGTCTTCACACAGTAAGGCTGTCCATAGGCAAGCATCTATGAAAGTATTGCCGTATTGAGAGTCATGTACAACACAATAAACACCACGACACAGATTTGGTGAATAAGGCAGTTTTTCTTTACACATTTGTAAAATTGTACAATATACAGAAAATGACACAAACCCTGACATGTTAATAAAAACCTATTAAAGTATGATCGTTTAATCATTGCATGTGCAGTAAACATTTGTTCCTTCGGGGAGAAATATAAACAACATTGAACACAATACGATTATGCAAACAAAAAATACTGGTTTGGAATTAATAAATAGCAGTAACATTTTACATTATGAAACAACCGGAGCACACAGAGAATGTAAAAGTTCATCTTTCCACTAAATACCATCTGTGCAATGCTAACCTCTACAGCACAGTAATTAGATTTCAAAACACGTTAACAGTTTATTTGTACGTACCTGCTTTATGACCAATAACATGTTTCGACAATACATCTTAACGATAAGTTGCAATTACTGGATTTTGTAAATAAAAAAAACGCACAATTGTAATGCTACGATGCTGCACTGCTAGTTTTTTTTAAGGCTTTTTGTTGACCTGCTATTTCAGTCCGTGTCAGATCCAGGAAGGCACAGCTTGTACAACCTGCAAAGAGAGAAACGAGTCAGATAATTTCTTGATTTGAAGCTTTCGTGACTGCAGGAATCCATACTCTTTGGTTCTTTCTGGTAAAGTCACGTAGGTAGAAAATAAAATAAATCCCAAGATAATGCTCTGCATGTATTCAGATATCAAGTCAAACATTCAAAGTGATTTCCGGCTCAAGTGAGCATTAAGGAAGTTGCTCATCTGTTAACAGTCCTGAGCCAGTGGTGGAAATTCCACATTCCTATTGCAGTTGCGTCGATCCATCGGACACAACCACTTGACTACCCCCCCACTCCCGCCCCATCGTAGTTTGGTACTAATTTGTATCGACCCCGGTAAGAATGATGGGTCGAGTCAATCCCCAATTGGGATTTGAACTCGCAGAATTAAAATTTCTCTCCCGCTGAGCTACCGGGCCATTTAAGACAAACCAGCAATCGATCTCGAAGGCAATGGATGTTGAGGCGTGTGTAATTTGCATGGTGGTGTATTTCTGCTTCAAGCACAGCTTTCAGGCGTGTTGGTAAAGGAGCATTGTACAGGCGCACGAGATGACAACTTGGAGGACCTATCGGTGGTGGCCAGTATAAAGCAGAATGACGAGTTTTTTTTTATCATTCCATATTTATTGACGGTGTTTGTCTGAGCACGGCTGTTAATGGAAGTGACCAAGC